ACTTGGGCTTCCCTCTGCCACAGGTACCTGCAAGCTGACCTTTTTGACTTGACCATCAGGTACCCGAAAGCCACTTCAGTGCCCTCTGCACCCAGAGCACATGGCCTCTGCGGGAACACGGAGCACGCAAGCAGTAAGAAAAAGGTACATTCTGGGTCTTCTTAAGGGGAACAGCCCCACTTCACAAGCTGGCGTTCACTAAACCTGCCCCGCGTCTGGTCATCGTATGTTCCACGTTGCCAGACTGAGCGAGGAAATCCCTTTGAAACACAACCTGAACTCTGCCCTGCCTAAAAGTGTCCTGGATATCAGATACCAGGGGTATAGGGAAGGATTGGATTTTGAGTGCAGGGCACTTTTTACCATCATTCTGCTGTATTCCCATTTTCAAGGCAATTCTAAAAGAGTACACGCGTATCAAACCATGAGAGCTGAAGAGTACCAGGTCAGTTCTTTTGAACGCACTGTCCTGCTCCAGCACATGCCCGATCCACATGGATAAGCAGGGTATAAATTTATGAATGCCATAACATACACAGACACCAAATCATGAACGTGACCAAAGAGCCCCTAAATGAAAACTGCTGCTGCTCTAGGCACAGGGGCTGGGAAAAGTTGGCAGGCTGAAAAGCTTTCCAAGGGAGGAGGCAGGGAGTAATCAGCTAAGCATTCATTATGAACACTTGGGAAAATGTACGCCTTTCACTCTAAAGACTCATTTTCAGCTGAACCATAATCTGAAAGTTTGATTTTTAAATGTATTTATATTTTAGTTTGAGACAAACTCCTGCAACAAAAAAGCGTGTTGGCTGAAATGTGAGACTCGGCAGAGTTATAAGCAACTGAAGAGGGGTGCTCATAATGCAAAGTGTTCAGCAACCTCAGCAACATGCAGAGCGCGCAACAGGAGGGCCGAGCAAAATGGGTGAGCACAGGCAAACGGGCAGAGACAAGAGAAGTTGGGGGGGCTCCCTGCAAGAGCATAAAGCCCTTCAAGCTGGCAGGGCAGAGTCACCTCACAGTGAATATGCACAAGTTAAAAACTTGTGAGTTTGATCCTCACTGCAAATCCACTTTCAAGAGCAGCTTGGCGATGGAGGGTGTGACAAAACTGCAACCCAAAAGCAGTCTCCAATGACACCTTATATTTCCTTATCTCACCCAGGATGGGTGTAAGACAGTTTCATCCCAAATTGTTACGTTCATTATGCATCAGGCTGAGCAGGCAAAACAATTCACGTGGGAAACTGACCCCAGAGATTTCACCACTATCAGCTTTCAACCTGGAACATACAAGTCACTCACACACCTACCTGTAGGTCTGCAAACTTGTGCTTGAAGAACCCAACTGCATCCTCCAAGGGAATAGGAAAGCAAATATATTCTAGGGATTCTTAAAGCCTTCTTTATGCAAGGCAGTGAGTTTAGATAATAGTTTAGCCAAACAGGCACAGGCTGACTCAGTTTGAATAAGCCCCATAGGAGGTACAGTGAAATCAAATCAGAATGATACAAGCACAAGGTACCTTGCCCAAAGTAAAAGCACTTAGACTGAGGAAAAGATAGTTGCAATCGTTAAATGAATTTTTGAACTGATTTTGTCATATTAGTTTTACACACAAGGTGTAACAGTCTGCCTGTTCTGGGATACCTTAACTCCAGCTTTTCCATAAAATGCAAGACCACAACAGTAGCTTTTTACTTCCTCCTCCCCCCTCAAGCTCAGAGGAGCATCCTACATTCACCCAAAGCCTTTTGATTAGCCTCTGTGGTCTCTTATGTTGCACCTCCAGTTACCCAATTAGTACCTTGTTAACTAACACCTGCAGTGTATTTATTCCTTGCCATTGCACTACTTTTAACCCTTAATGCACAGTGGTATGTACATCCTTCCAGGAAGCTTTGTGCATAGGCTTTGACAAGAAAAAACTTACTTGTGCAAAACCAGAGTGGTTTTCAGGGCTACTAAACACCGACACTTTTTGCTTCTCTACTCTTGGTGTCCAGGGTAGGACTTGAGTCTTTTGAAAACAAGGGTGGATGGAAGCAGAAAAGGGAGATACTTGTCTCTGTGGGACCGATGAGTTTTGTGAGAACTGGCCACGCTCAGTGCCTTGCATGATGGCACCCAACAGTATTTAATAGCAATCAGGGACTGCTGAGAACACTAACGTGGAGCACCAATTTTTCTGACCTTTGCTATAGGTACTAACCGTAAGCTTCTGATTCTTCACTTCACCATTCAGTGCCCGATTCACCATCAAAACCATAGTTCCCCGCTGCAAGGGAGCTCTTTGTTAGTATTTGTACTTCGGAATTACCAAGGGATTACACGTGGAGAAGGCTGCTGAAGGGGTATGAATACCGCATTGGCAATGCATTCTGTCCTCCATCTCTGGCACATCCGTAGGCACGCTGTACATTTACATGAAAGGCTGATGCGAGCTCCACACGCCTCAAGGCAGGCAAATTTGGCTGTTCTGACCATGTTGTCAGCCATCAGCCACCATGGGCTACAAGAGACCTCACGTATCAGTGAACTCACAGCAGATCCTATTACCAGCAGCTGCTATCTCTAGAGTGGATGTCATTATACATTACAAAAAGAGAATTTATTCAGTAACAGTCATGTTTGGGATAAAGAAATTATAGTGCCCAAATAGAAGATTGCTTAAGAGTGTATAGTAGATATCTGGGATTATATGACTCCGATCATCCCAGTGGCAGGGAAGGGTGTTGAAGACAAGGGGATAAATGCTCTTATTGCAACAGAGAGTCATCTTTACCAATGATTTTCTTCACTGTAATGGCAGGATTTCCTCAATTGAGTAAGTGTTATTCAGTAAGGTAAGGATGACAGGACTAGGGCAGAGGTTTGAAACAATAATTGCAGTTTGTTCTTCTGTAGTACCTTTCATCTATGGAATTCACAACAAGGCAATAATCCTCCTAACAGCTTGTTGTAGGTAAGGAAATATTATGAGCCCTGTTTTTCAGCTGAGGGAGCTGAGAGGGAATATGATGATGCAGAGAACCATGGGCAGAGCCAGAACTGCGACTCAGCTCTTCTGACTCATACTTTGTAGTTCTGAGAGCCTGGACACACCAGTCGGTGAGGCCACCCTGGCTACTCAGTGCCGGGAATTTGTCAGTGCCTGTAGGACCTTTGTCTCTTCAGTGTTCACTCTTCATCTGGAAAAGGGTGAGCAAGCCCCCAAACAGGGAACCCAGGAGCCAGGATGTCTACAAGCCCCAAAAGGTGCAGCACTATGGCAATTGTTGGGAAGGCAGGAAAGAATTGAGCTATCCAAGACCCAAAGGATCTTGTAAGTGTTCATCTGCAAATACAAGTTTTGATTACGATCTAAATGCTGGTCTGGAGACAGCCAATATCCAATGGAGGGTCTGGAGTGGATTTAAATAATGTCCTTCCAGATTGGCAGTTCTCAAACCAGAGAAACAGAGATGAATGGCTTCCCCTGCAATGGAGAGGAAGGGAATGAAGAGCCCACAAAATATCCTGTCTGACCTTGGTGTCTTTTATCAGGATGTAGCAAGAAGCATTACTTGGAGGAGCTGGAGGCTGGGATACAGTGGGCTAAGATTTATATGTATGGAAAGAAGCAGAGCAAAGGCCTAAACTATTGTGGGAGAGAAGAAAGGGACATGACCACAGAATTTGAGAAGTGAAGAGAAACTGCCCAGCCAGTATGGCTACATATCTTTGGCCACAGTAAATATGTTTCTTTGGAAATTAGCTGCCTCTAAATGGTTTTGTTACACATTCAGTGTGATGTAGAGACCTAGCACCTGCTGTTAACACAGTGGTTTGCACAGGTAAGCAAGCTTGTGAATAGCGTGTGCTACTGAGTTGGCAGTTTAAACTAACAGATACTAGAACATTCTAGATTTCAGCTGGCTAAAGCCCTAATGGATTCCTGTGTTTTCTTACTTTTCCTCTTGCCCTCTTACAAAGACTGGAGAGAACGGTAAAGAGATGCTCTGACTAAATAGTAACACTTTCAAACCTCTTGATTTCTGAATTACAATGAGTAATAAATATATTCAGATTTCACTAAAACTATCTCAGGGCTATGAGTTAATCATATTGAACTGTCCGTTCATTGGAGTTGCAACCATTTGCACCAGCCAGGAATGAAGCTCCCGATTCACAGAAGTGCTGAGAACCTGCTGCTCCAGTTGAAGTGGCTGGGAGAGGCAGGCTGTCATCACGTCTGGCAGTCAGACCGTCTGTGATTCAGTCTGGGGCTCTCAAATCAGCAGCCTTTATGCATTAACTTGGCGGTGACTTGCATTGGGGGGAATCTGCTTTGAATGATACACTGTAGGACATCGCTGGACTCCAATCCTGTGTGAAGTCCTACCTTCTCTTCAAAAACATGGACTGTTTCTTAACAGGTCTTTACTAATATAGAGCTCGATACATGCAGTGTTCAATGATCTTACTCTGAAAGAAGTTCTTCAACTTCCATAGGCCCCCTGTGCCAAGGCTAAGTGTTTGTACACATCTCTCCCAGGGCAGAATGAATCAAATCCTACCTGCTCTCCACTGGGGTAAGATTTCCTAGTTTTAAATGAACAAATGTTGGCAGTGATGCAAGCAAGGTTCATACTGTAGTGGGGGAGGTAGAAATATCAGCCTGGAAAAGATTCAGTGTTTGTTTTTAAATCCCAGAAGAAACATATGAATGCGATGTATCTGGGATTTAGAAGAAAACAGAGCAGCATATTAGCAACCACACAGAAACAGCTATATGTCAGAGATCAGCTGCTCTTTAAAAGCCTAAAAGATGCAGCAGGTCTCTCGTGAGTTCTTCCTCCCTCTGTTTCTTGAGCAGTGTGTAACCCACAGTAAGTCTGTTCCATGCTTCCTCTGTCCGCTGAGAGGCCCAAGCAAATAAAAGTCCTGAGATTGCTAATTGGGCCAAAACATAAACATGGGTTTACACAGCTTGTAAGCTTAGCGCCTTATTACTCACCATTGCAAATGTAAGCACGAGCTTGTTTGCAGCAGTCAGGTCTAAAGAGCAGATCCAGCATGTACTGAAGTTAGTGGGAGCTCTTCCACAAACGTTAACGTGCTTTGGATCAAATGGGCAGGGCTGGATCAGTTCTGGTCTCAGTGGAACCTGTGACAAAATTGTATACATTTGCCATAGCAGGACCCATGGCCTCAGCTCTGTTCCCGACACCTTTAAAGCCATCCAAAAGGGATCCCAGCAGCACTGAAAGCAGTCACTTCCATGTAATCTGAGCCACTCATGGACTTTTCTTTCCCTTTGATCATTATGGGAAGCTGCTCTCCCCCAAAAAAACCTCAGACAGGTGTCTTTTCCAGTGTACTTGGCAGGTCACCAAGTTCAGGCTATTTTGAACCAAATGGAATGAAAAATTTTGTGAGGGAGAAGCCTGCCAAGCCCCACTCTTTTCCAGAGAAGGAATTTGGACAGATCACATCCTGCTGATCCCAGCTGTGGCAGCATGGCCAGGGGAGCAAGAAAGACCCTCCCAGATGACTCATAACCAGCAAGTTAAATTGCATCCAAAGACAACGGGCCGTCCGTGCAAACCCCCAGGTACTCAGGCTATGCAGTCCCAAAGGAAAGCCCTTGCTTGCTGAGCTGTCTTTTTCTGCGACAGCCATGCTGTCAAAAACCCAATCTAGCGTGCGACCAAGTACTTTGCCAAATGGAGTTTATCATACTTTAAACTTATTTTAAAAAAAATCCAGGACACTTACAGGCTAAGGGGTTGTTTAGGATTACGATTAATTTGTGGTCGAGGCTACAGTTTTCAGGTTCCAGAGAGGTATTATTCAGTATAGATAAGGATTTTTATACATATATATATGTATTTTATACATATATATAAAAAAATCTCAGGCAAAAACTTCCAAAGCAGACACTGAGAGGCAAAATACAAACTTTTAGCTCCAACATGAAAGAAACAAAAACACCCTACCCCTATCACAGGAAAGTTATATACATACATAGCATTATACTGCTGATAAGATTTGTGGTCTCTCATTTTATTTCATATTTATTTTTTAAAAGAATGAAAACTTTAAGCCAAAACCATCTGGAAGAATCGGCAACAGGAACTTAACTAGATTTGTTTCCTAATACTGTTCTGGGGACTGTGCAAGCTCATGTAGCTGTCTGTGTTTTACCTCCCTGAGTTTAGACGGCAGGGTTAATTCTCCAGACATCTGCTGCGGCTTTCCAGGCTGGAGAAGAAGGGCCTTGGCTTCACTGTACCACTGATTTTTTTTCCTTTCTCAACTGCCACTAGAATTTTTGGAGCCCAAAGATCTTCCTGTGTTAAAGGGCCAGTAAATGACACGTGTCTCCTTTTCTTCCCTCTTAACTGAAAGCAGACTGTAATGTGTTCTGTGTGGTCTGGGGTTGCGGTTCAGAAAAAAACATTGCTCTCCAGAAAAGTGCTTAAACATACGCTTAAGTTGGCCATTTGGCCTTAATGAATCAAAGTTAAACGCTTTTCTGAGTCAGGGCCCTTGTACATTGAGAACCGCCTCAGATATACTCTCACCCAAGCAAATATTACGGTGTTAAATGGCTCATACATCAGCCTCATGCATTGTATACGTTACTGCCTTGTGAATTAGCTTGGCCTTTTCATAACGGTTTTTATCTGTGGTACTGGTGTATGCTTCCAACAGGGCCGGCCTGCCCGTTACGACCCAACGACATCTCACCCCGCTGCAGCCAGGTTCAACCGTTTTGGAACAGCTGCGACAGATGGGGGCAGAGCCCTGCCCGCGTGCTAAGCGGCTGCGTACCTGACCGCCAGCGCCCAGCCTGATCTGCGCTGCACGGGAATGCCACGCAGGGCTGGATGGGGCCCTGACGAGACCCGCTCCGCACCACAGGCCGGGCAGGGCGCTGCCTGCTGCTGCCCTCGATGCCCGCTCCCCACAGAGCCACCCAGGGTAAGGGCAGCGGCTCAGGGGCCTTACCCGTGGCGGAGGGAGAGCACGACACGGAGCTCGGGACCGCCGCCCGCTGCCGCTCAGCCCGGGAAAGCGGGAGTGGGGAGGGCGGGAGAAAGGCCGAAGCTAAGGCGGCGCCTGCCCCTTTGAGGCGCCGCCCGCGCGCGCAAGC